TCCCATCTGAAACAGAAACGCCTTCAGCTCAGCCAGGACACTGTCGCAACAATGGGCTCAATTCAGGCCCCAGCACAAGGAAAGTAAGATTAAGCAGCAAGACTATGGACAGGCCTAGAACAGGTAAGGAAAGTTTAAACTAATAATTTTTCCCGAACTTTAAAGTTAAACCCAGGAAGTGGTAGACTCCTTTGAGCCATTCCCTTAAGACAGGGCTCTGATCACCCGGACTTCCTGGCACCCCAACACGCAAACCGGCACGGTGGCCAAGTGGTAAAACGCTGGTCTCATAAACCGAGGAACGCGGGTTTGAACCCCGTCTGTGCCTTCTAAGGGGCGAAGCGGTGGCTCTGTGGCTATGCATCTGCGCCTGTGGCTGGAAGGTTGCCGGTTCAAATCCCACAGCCTGCAGAGGAATCCTACTCCGTTGGGCCCCTGAACAAGGCCCTTAACCCCAGCTGCTCCAGGGGCGCTGTATAAATGCGCTTCAACCCCAAGCTTCTCTCTCTCTGTCTGTGTGTCTGTGTGTCTCATGGAGAGCAAGCTGGGGTACGCGAAAAGACAAATTCCTAATGCAAGAAATTGTATATGGCCAATAAATGGATCTTAAAACGCACATCTGTGCTCACGCTCCACCTGCACAACACCCAACACAAATTCACTGACCCACCAACCAAGGACGTACTGCAAGGGGTTGCCATTACACTTGAAGACATCACAATGCGCCATCCACAACAGAGAGAATTAAAAGCTGCATTCTGCTCTTGATTTCCCCATGTCTTGGCAACTTGAGGAACCAAACAAGGCAAATAAAGCATATGCAACCACCACTGTCAGTGCAGAACCAGTCATGCAAAAGAAGTTTATCTGAAAGTTTATTTCTCGGCTGGGCCAAGAAAAACCAACATAAGACACAATTCTGACCAAAACTGCCTCAGCAACTGGAGACGTTTTGCGATAAGCTCCCAACTTGAATTTCAACTTGAAGGTGTTACATTTGTTTGTGTCATTGGCAGGCATACTCCTCTGTTTTCTTCTATACGCTTACCTTGATATGGAACTCCAAGTTTTCATCCATGGAGTAAATGTAATTAAAAATGTCTTGCACTATTCTGGGGATGATACCCATTTCATCTGGATCATGGAGATTGCCCTGAAAACAGTTTTGGGTAAACGTTTTTGTTAATATCCAGACAGATTTGTAACTAGGTATGCAATCTAATCGAATAAAGTCAGGGATGAATATTATGCTGGTGAAATAATTTTCCTTTCAATATGCACCATTTTTTATTCAACATAACCCAAACAAGTTACCCTTTATTAAAGAAATTTCCCTTGGGCGAATGATTCAGCATTAAAGCATACTAGCAAATCTAAATATCCCTAGGAAGGATAACATACTAGTTTGTTAATTTATTACAATGAAATTTTAATTTAGCA